CATTTTCATGCGTCTCAAAGTTCATCCAAGCCCTGATGTATTGATAAGTGAAGCATTCCAGYATTATGGTCTGTAAGGATGATAATTAACTGCTGAAAGATTGAAGCATGAGCGTTCTCTGTGAACATCTACTTTGTCACTGAATGATCCTTATTAAGTGGTATCTCTTCTGGAYCCTTTTTTCACCTGCCAAACAAACCAGGGTGGGATTTTCAGAAGYGTTTAAAATGCTTTTCTCCTACTTATTTGTGATTGCTTTCAATGTTTTCAAAATCCCCAGGGGATTTCAAGCACTGTGGGCTCAACTGCATCTCCGTGGGCTTAAGCTCTTTGCACACCTGATTTAACAGCTATTCTGAATTTCAGAGCTGGACAGTGATCCCAGCTTTCATCAAGCAGATCAAACACAGCACAGAGAGGTCAAAACACCAGGTCTGACCTGAAGATGAGCGTGTAACGCTTGTTATAAACTCAGCTCCTCATTTCCTGGTTTGAAGGACTACTCCAGCCTTCACATGTGAACTTTCCTTTCTCTTGAGGCACTCAAGTGAGCCTCTCCTTGTGTATTTTATCCAAGAACTTGGGACACATCTGGCAGGCACAAGCATCGGTCCAAACTGAAATTCTGAGTTGCTCAAAACTCAAACCGAGTCATATTTGGTGACCTGCTAGTAAATCAAACATAAAAATGATTGGATTCCCCTCTATGGGAAAAAGTAACCATGGAAAAATGTGACACAGAAACCTTCCAGCGACAGAAATTCCATCCCCAGGATGCTCCCAGAATTTCACCCATTGATTATGAGCAAGACTAAGCGTTAGCACTTCCCAACTTTCAGGCTGGGAACGAGGCATTCGTGACTTTCCACCTGATTGGAAAAACTCTCCAAACGTCACTCGAGACCAGCACACAGAAAACAAACTTAGAGACAATATCTAAGGAAAACAGAACCTAACCTATGACTTGTTCTTTGATTTACAGCTGTGATTGTGGGCCCCACCTCGCAGTCATATGCCATGCTAGTAGGCAGCAGTTCAGCAAGCACCAGTGCTCACTTTTCACATGTTGTGGGGATTCTGAGCYACTTCAGCACATACTTTAGCCTGGTGCAGCACGTCATGAGAATGACTAAAGGGACAGGTGACATGCCACAACTGAAGAAAAAAAAGAATGATTGAGCCTTTGGTCTTGTTTATTCTACCTTCTACTTAGTTTTTTTTCGCCTAAACCAAAAGCTGCCAAATTTCACATGAATTTATTTCATTAATTAATTTCTCCCATCTCCAATTTGCCTGTTATCAGTATAACTGTGAATTTTCAACTTACATTCCATGGGGTACCCACAGASATGACCTCAAATGGCACATTGGCATTAACAACTGCAGTCCTGAATTCACCTGTGCCACGGAGAAAGTATTTTCCCCCAAAATGAGCAAATATTGTAGTTCAAAATGGCAATCTCCATGGGAGCAGGATGGAACTCTCCCAGTTCTTGTCCTAGTTTTATGTACAAGTCTTGTTACTTCATCTTTGGGGCTGCTTACAAAATAACCCAACACTCTGGGAGCACAGAGACCCCCAGCCCACAACTGGGATCCTGTGAGAGAAARGCACACCCTAATTAAAAAATAAAGCATCAACTCTGCTCCATTTGCCTGAGGTCAATGGGATGTTTGTCCAAACCTAGGAGAGTGTTCAGGAACCAGTTTGAAGAAGAGCAAACACAGGCATCTCTCAAAGTGCTTTTCCATGTTAGGGCCTGGGAAAAAAATTTCAGATTGGGCCCATGATAAAAAGTGTTCCCCTAGGAAATGTTAGCCACACCATAAAAGGAAGGAATGACACTGAACTAAAGGAGAATGGAGATTGTCTGCTGAATTTTTGTAAATTCCCATAAAATCCGAGTCTTGTTCTATGTGCATAATTCTCACTGCAAGTCATGAAAGGCTGACTCCTCAGAGAAGCAGGAAATGACTGGCTCACGATAGGATAAAAGGCTGCATAATTGCACGGGCAGAAAGATGGATTTTCATCAATCACTACGCTCTCTGACARTATGGCAGCAGCTTTTGATCACGTATCCCATGCACAGCAATTAGGCAAAATGACTTACCCTCAATCTTTTCAGCATTTAGCTCTGAGGGTGCAAGGATTCATTCTTGGAAAGGGAAGATGCTCGTGTGATTTGGGGCACTGGAGGAGCACTCAGACCTGAGTCCTGTCCCTGCTTCTGCCACAGCCTTGCTGTGTGACATTGCACTGGCTTTTCTCCATGCCTCGGTCTCGCCTAAAATGGGATAACAACAGTTCTTTATTTCAGAGGAGAGAGGGGCACAAACCAGCTCAGGGCTGTGCCACGGAGATGCTACAGCAAAGGGCAGCACAGAACAGCTCAGACACAGAATAACGCCTTGCTAATTAAATGTGGGAACACAGACAGTAATTAAATTGAGCCATAAACACAAAACATAGGCTGGGTTTTGAGGAATGTGACACTGACAGGCTTTGTTACCTGAAATTAAAGGAAATTTAAGTGGGATTCTAATGAGTTGACCTGACTCTGAGATCTGCTAGTGGTACAAACTGTTTTTAAGAAACACCGAGGAAATGACTTCATTCAAAACCTCCACATGGTGTCTGTTTTACAGATCTGCAGCCCCAGTGAGGGTCAGATAACCACCCAGAACAACCTTTTCAAAGCCATGGGAGGAGCCTACCAACACGATTTCCTTCAATTTACAGTAAAACRTGGGCATACAAATCCGAGGTAGCTTTGAAACTTCAAAATAAAACCTGAAATGYTCAGATTAGAACATAAATGGGGCCACTGATCCTAATTAAAGTGTTAGAGATGTCTGGAACAGCCTCAATGCCACTGTTCCAGAGTCACACTGCCGTTGGAATTTGACAGAGCTTCAGCAAAGAGTCTTCAATAGTATTTTTCCAAATGCAAAGATCAATGTTTTACTCTAAAGCCTTTCARGTAGGGGTCAGCTATGGGCCTGTGGGTCTGGGAGAAGAGGAGCTCAGGGCACATGCCCAGATAAACCAAATGATCTGGAGAGCAACGGATCAAAGGCAGAAAAAACAGATATGAGACACCTTAGGAAGGGAAAATCACTTCTGAGAGAGGGAGKGATGGGAAAGTCAGGCAGAGAACAGCCCACAGAAAGGCAGCATGGACCTGAGAACAGGCAGGAGAATGTCAGAACTGGAATGCTGAAACCCATTGGAGGAGGAGACCCACAGATACTGCTCCAAGCAAGAGAAAAAAGGTTAAACCCAAAGTGCTGGAGCTGCCTGGGAGCCTGGGAGAAGAGCCTGCAGTCACCGTGCAGTGTGTGATAAAGCAGAGGCCAGGCAGGACAGAGGGCAGGAGAAAAGGAGAGCAAACCGGCACATAATCCTTGGTTTCAGTCAACAAAAGCAACTGAAGGACAGGTCTGCAAAGATGAATGACAGGATTAAACGTTATGAATTGACTAAAGGTAAATGACCATGCACCATGTTGTAAGGCTGAGATTGGGTTTGGGCAGCCCTCTCTGAGTGTATTTCCCCATCAGACAAGGCCTCAGAAAAAGATATAACCAGGACAAGAAATTCTGGATCCCTGGACAGAGGAGATGGGTGCAGAGTGTAAAACAGAAAAAACACTCCATCCCCAAACCACGGCCTACAGTGTGGAAGGACAAAGCAAAAAGGTGTTAGAGCATTGCATGGGAGTGCAACTTGTGAGAACAACCATCCTCGAGTCCACTGAGCCCCCTACTCACCCCCCACCCCACAAATAACAGAGCTGTCCATCAGGCATCCTGGCTGTCCATCAGGYATCAGAAATGTGGCTCCAGCTGCTCACACCCTTCCCTGCAACACTCCAAATCCAGAGGGAGTCCACCTCCAGCAGACAGCAGAAGAAGATATGACACGGCATTCACAAATGCACAGAGAACTGTTTAATTTACAGCCACAATGGTGAAACAAACCATTTCAGAGCTCGGACATTCAAAGTTAAGTCTGACACTCATTCTCATATTCACTTATTGTGCTTAAGTATTAGAGAACACAGGATTACATCAACCGTACACGACAATCTGAGATCCCWGCGGGACCGAGGGGTGGAAGGGATGAGCCAGAATGAGGGACCAGCCCCTCAARTGGTGTAAGCTGGTACAGCTGATTTACACCAGCTGAGGAGATGGCCCTTGAAATGTCCAACTTAACTTTGAATCAACCACTCCCACGTCACAACCCTGCCACTTCGAAGGACCGATCCCACAGCCCGACACGGCGCCCAGGCTGGCGGCTGACAGCTCAGCTGGACTTTGGGATGTGACACTCACACCATGACACTACTGCTCACAATTTAACAGCCATGGACTGGGTCCTCATCTGATGTAAATTAGCTCGGGGGGGAAGTCAGAAACATTTGCCAATTTATAGTAGCTGAGAACATAGCCCTGAGATTTTAGTGTTTTCTGCCGCATGCTGTATGAACACTGTGCTCGACAACAAAGACCTCGTGTGCGTTTCGTTCCTCCCACCAAAATTAACTCGAGACCGCCCGTCCCAAACCAGCAGCGCTGGAACAGTCCCCGCTCAATCTTCACTCTCTGCCGCTGCGCTGAATTTGGCGTGACACGTTTGTTTATTCCTGGCACCGACAGAACCTCGCGGTTCGCTTTGTTTTCAAGACTTTGCTACGAGGGCCAGGCTCCCTGGTGATGTAAATCAGAGCTCCGGGATAGCCAGGGGAGTCACTCCGAGGAGCTGGCCCCAAACCCAAACACAACCTCGTCGTGCCAGCGCAGCCACGGGACTCTTTCCAAGAGTTGTTTTGCAAACTATTCCACTTAAGTGACTCTGACATCCTTTCATACCTGCACAGTGTCTGAGTGGGTCACGTAATGCTTTTCATCTACATGATTTTAATGGATATATGTTTGGTTTTTTGTTTTTTTTTTTTTTCTTTCATTAGATATCTTTAAAAAAAAAAAAAAAAAAAGGAAAAAAAAAAGGAACGGAGCAACATTATTGGCATCCCACTGAAACATAAATATATAAATTACATTTTATACACTTTTTTAAACGCAGACACATACATTCATGTGCATAACATTGTGAACAGTACACTTAGTGGAAAACAAGCACAGACAATCTTAGTTAAATGTATTTCCAGTTTTGGTGCTCAACAAATACACTGGGAAAATGATCACAAAATAGAACGGTGACTAACTCTATCTCTGCATTAGCATCTGAAGCCAATAATGCCTGTTAGCTAACATTGCTTTGTTTGGTTGAATTTGGACATAGCTACAGGAACAGGAGGGGAATGTCTGAACTATATTTAGAGAAATGGAAAGGTTAAAAACCTTGCTCTCTTTTGTTGTTTTAAGGTTCTGCAGTTCATTCACATTTGAAGATATTTTTATTTGAGTGGAAACACTGTCTTCGAGACAAACTYTTTTGTTGTTCCAAACTAAGAAAACTCTTTCATCTCTTTGTAGATGTTTCACAACTGAAAGAATCCAGTAGTTCATTTTACATATCCAATGTAATAATCCAAATAAAACAAAGGGTACATAATCCAAACTACTGGGGTGGGGCAGTGATTTTGGCCAAGTGAGTAGCCATGTCATATCTGGCACAGCCCTAAATTTCCAAAGCAGTACAGAAGGATTTATCCATGTGGCTCCCACTRCAATCTGTGGGGAACTGAACATTTAATCCTTTGGCACTTTGAAAATACAGGAGCTGCTGCCAGAGTATTTTATCTGCCCTGCTATAGTTAAAATAGATTTTGATGTTATTTGGGCTATTCTACTACAAAAATATGACCACAAAATGCTTTTTTTTTCTTTTTTTTTTTTTTTTTTTTTTTTTTTTTTTTTGGTTCAAGAAAACATAGCAGGCTTTCTCAGGTATATAAAACTGTTAATTTTTAGATAAAAATACAAACTTCACCTTTACAAAAACACATATTTCTGTTGAATACACATAAAGCATAACATTTTACCAAAAATAAAGAATTTTAGGTTTTGTTCAAATATTTGCAGCAAGGTAGTTCCCATGCCACCATGACATTATACAATGCAGATACAAGAATTTGTACATTTCACACAGCTCCAACATGTGAAATAAAAGTATCTGTATACTGATAAGAATGACAATTGCTAACACAATATCACTAGTAGGCAACTGGCATAAGTCTTAAAGAAAAAAAAAAAAAAAGGATTTTTGCATGGATATCCTATGATTTGTTTACGCACATCTCTCTTTTTTTTTCTCATTTTTTTTCTTTTATGTAATGCTTTAAATTACGGGGGAGGTTGGGGAACATAAACCAAGAAACGTCTAGAAAATTATGCATAGGTATACCATTTTTATTTTAATACATCTCATTAGTTTGCATCCCACTAGGAGAAATACCATAATGTTTTGTGTTCTGCTTATTGTTATACCAGTCTTTTATATGTGTTATTGGCAAATGTAGTCCAAGAGATAATAAAAAGCTAGGCAAAGAGTAAAAAGAAAACTTAATAATCACTTTATGGTGTAAAAAAAAAAATCCACTTAAGGCTCCCCAGAAGGTTTTTTTGTATAGACTTTTAAAACACCACCAAGCAAGGATGTATTGTTCTATAGTGTTTGCGTGGCATTTGATCATTTCATACATTCCTGCTTTTTTTGTGCCTGAAGTCCACCAGTGTCCATCCATCTTCATCAAGAACGCAGGCACATTTCTTGACGTAAAGCACCGTTGACTGCTCTGACAGAAATCCACTATTCACTTAGATTTTTGTCATGTTTTTGAGTACTTTTGGTATCCTCCATTCATTCAACTGTCTTTTTTTTTTTCTTTTCTGTTTTTCTTTCTTTCGTTTTTTTTTTYTTTTTTGGACAGGGAAGCTTCCTATTGTTTCACAGAGTGCTACAATACTTGCTTTGATGTCACATTAAACAAATGTACATTGTCTCTTTGTTCTCATTAAGTGTTCTTTTGAGCCAGTTTTTTTTTCACACAGGAGAACAAATAAAGTATACAGTCAATAAGCACCATACATAGTAGGTTCAGGAATGTAACAAACCATGTACATCCATGTCCCAGAGAGAAGTTTTTTTTCTAGCTTATTTTCACCTTACATCTGCAGGAGAGAAAAAAAAGATACAATAACTCTATGATTAGAATCAAAGGTCCTGTCTTCAAAGTAGATAACTTAAAAAAAAAAAAAATGAAAAACAACTGCTCTGCATGAAGAGTCACTAACCTGGGACAAGAAGTTCTAAATGCTGTTTTGATTGAGTTTACATGCTCATTTTAAAGTTGAATTTTAGAAAATCTTTGCTTCTATCATACTACTCCCAATAAATACCTGTTAATCTGAAACAGGATATCAAGTTTAGCATTCTTTTAGGAAATGATACATCAGTATAAATGAAAACTGCCATTGGGAGTTTATGTGCAAAAACAGGGGCTTGAAATTAAATTCACCATCATCCAGGCGTTACGCACAGACACTGCAAAATCCAAATCATTCCCACTCCAAATACCAGAATCAATTGCAAGTGCTGCAGTTTACATACTTTCGAGTCATTAAGAAATGGAAATTCCATGTTTAATTTGGAATGTGTGTCGCCATCATCATACATTGCTAATATGTTGGCCAAAGGATTTCAGTCATTTTTGCACCGAGAGGGTGTTAGTTTTTCACTACACTGAAAACCTCATGAATTTTGATGAGTGACTATCATCATCCTACTGAGACTGAACAGACCAAAAAAAAAAAAAAATTCTTAATTTTCTGGTGTAAGCAACACTGGGCTCTGCAACACAAAAAAAAAAAGAAATGTTTCTAGGTATCTTTCTTGTCAAGTAGGCAGATGATCAGATTGTGTCAGGTGCATGTGCAATCAACCCCAGCTCAGGCCAGAACGTGGGTTTGATGGCMACACAAATAATTTTTTTATTTGTCATTATTTGCTGTATGTACACTCAATGTTTCACAGCCAAGGACTGGGAACACRACAATTTGTAACCTGGCAATTCATTCATGCATTATCCCGTGATGCTCCGACCTCAGAAATCAATGATGATGAAACACAAGCAGAGGCAATGGAACTTGAGATTTCAGAAGCTGAAGTAAATTAGCACCCTCCAATAAAAAAAGAAATCAAAAAGGCAAGAAAAGGAAGTAGCTCAAGAATGTAAGATGCTGATGGTGATGTGGAGCTTGAAGGGAAAATACCAGCAGGTAGAATTATCAAAGCCAATCAAATCTAATCTCTTTGCAGCCTTGAGGTAGCAAGTGTCAAGATTTTGAACAGTGATTAAGTTGAAGTGATGATATTTGATTAAGTTTTCCAGTACTTGTGCTATTAGGGTGTTCAGCATATAGGTCCTACCTGAATATCAAATAGTTCCAGTGGGTTTTATGTTGGTTTTAACTTTTTTCGTTTCCGTTTTTTACCTGATTCCCTAGGCCTTCCTGTTAACATAAGGGCAGGGCTGGTGAAAAGCCCTAAGGTAATGCATTTCGTGTAACACYGAAGTCATAAACACTCAAACCGTTTACATTTCAAAGAAATCTCATTATCCTKCGCATTAAAGTAATAACTTTATAACGTCTGATTTGACATTGGGTTTACAGAGGAATTACACAAAAGTAAAGAAATAATAAACGGAGTTGGCATTGCACACGTCATTCCCAAGATCCATCTATAATTACTGTTACCATGCAGTACTCAACATTTGCCTTCAGCTCTGGAGTTAAGCTATTTTCAGCTCRCCATCCACTTGCTGGGTGCAAGTTTGGCTCCTATCAGCAATTAAATCCTAGAAATATATATTTTTTTCCATGATGATTCTGCCCCATTTTTCACACATATCAAAACCAACAATTTTGACCTTAAAATCGTAACCGCTTAGTCTTTGGCAATTAAAGATAATTTGGAAAACTGAAACTGATCTAAKGAAACTTTTCTCTTCCCAAATGAAAGACAGAAAATTATTCAAGCCCTACACACATTAAAAATAGCACTTCATGTGTGGTTTTGTCTAACAACTCCACCTAGTTCCAGCTAAACACTCGAGCCCAGATTATAAATTGATGTCCAGTAAAATCGCAGCAGAGACCTAAGTTTGCTTTTATAGAAGTTCTATTTCCTCTGCTCTGTACATAGCAACTGAAGTTTACATTTGCTTGGACCAGGTTTATGTCTCCATGCTGGATGGAGCCAGTACAGAAAACCCTACAAAATCTATCATTTTTGGGCAGCTTTCCTCCTGTGTTTACCTGCTCTTCACTGACTCTTTAATTTTGGGCTGGCTCAAAATTAAATTCCCTGCAGAGGTGCAAAACAAACTTTTGAGGTTGCCTTCAACCAGCACCAGGAGAAAGGGAAATGTCCTTTCTACTAAAATGGGTTTCCTGATCAGTGTGTCAGGCTCTGCATTGATTGCACTCTWGTAAGTAGATCAGACCTAATGATTTTAGATTAATTCACACTGATTTTATGAAAGCCAGATTGAAAGTAAGAATTTTTCCCCATAAATCTTCCCCCATTGTAACTTAGAGGTCATCTCGACAAGACAAATTTAGGTTTAATGCAACAAACTGACAAATTCTTGGGTATTATACATAAGAAAACAACAGAAATGAGCAATGCTGTTTCCAAACTTACTCCTTAGCCTCGAACCCTGAATTTATTCCAAAGCTTTACATTAATTTCATTCCCATTTTCCCCAGGGTCAAGTAAATCTCGATTTTAGCCCTGTCCCCACACAGTCTAAAGGAATTAGGCAACAGAGCTCACCCATGAGCTGCAACATGACAACCTTTAACTTAGTGAAGCAAGACCTGAACTCCACTGGGCATTCACATTTATTTAAAGGCCAGCCTAATGAGAAGTGATACACTTTAAATGTGAAATCTAAACTCCTTATCCAGTACCAAGTGGCTCTCATTTTGCATTTTCAACACAGAGAAGTAGCTGGGAGCTGCCCTACTGAGTTCATGGTAAGTAATGTTTGCTTTACATTCTTTACTRATATAAAAATAAGGTCCATATGAAATCAGCATAATGCAAAAATAAAAGGAAAACATACCAGTTTCTTCTTCTCTATAATCTGAATTAGTATTTGATGATGTACAGGTGCATTCCATATGCTCTTCTAATCTCACCAGAACTTCTTTTAATTTTGGCTTTTTTCTAACATATTCCACTTTTGCCACCTATAAAATACGATGAGGTATGTACTGAGACACATCAACATGGTTACAGTTCAGAACTGAAGACAGATAACTATATACCTCTATTTTTAACGTAGCCAAACCCATATAAAATGTTAGCATACTAATCACCTTTTATCTTAATTGGGCATCGTGTAGCTATTTATTGCACAGACTATTTGTTTATTCCAGTTCAGCAGTTTGAAACCATTTTCCCCCAAGAGATAAAACAATTTCCCATTCATTTTGGTTTGATGTTTTAGGCAACTCCGTTTCCACGTGTACCACAATAAACTTCTATGCAGACTCAAATCACTGGTTGCTCTTGTAAACTGCCACTTTTAGCACAATCTTCTGTACAAATTGTTAAGGGCTGACAGCAAAGGCATTAGAATGGTTTGTAATACATTTCACTATTTACARATTGGGGTCTCCAGAGCCCTCTGAATGCTCAACCTGACACAAGCAGGATCTGAGCATCACCTCAGAAAGCACAGCCTCACTCCTGCTCCCTCCCTGCAGCAACTTTGGGTTTCATCACAAGAGCTCTCGAGCACAATTTTTAGGTCCAGAGGAATTATCACCCCTGCACTGGGTCCAGCCTGTGGCTTTATTGTGGATTTCTGGCTGAGAGAATATTTCTCCCCAGCTTTTCCAACTGCTCACAGCTGCACTGCTCCACTTATGGTATCCTTAAAATAAAAAAAAAGTCTGGAGGGCGAGGTGAGGCAGAACAGGAGGATATTGGGGTGGGGAGATCTGAACACGAGGAGGCAGCCAGGAGAGGAGGAATGGCAGAGAGGGCAGGAGCATTGGTGGTGTGGGGTGCTGAAATGGCTCGTGGCATGCAGGGCACTGATTTGGGCTAAGAGCAGTGGACATGATGGGCAGGGACATGCAGGGAATGTGGCATCAATGTGGGCAGGGACAGTGCCAGAGGGGCTGCAAGGGGGGCACAGTTCTCAGCTGTGTTARCTCTGCAGAATAGGTGGGGATCATTTGCTGGAAATGGAAATCACTGAAATTAAATAATTAAATCCTGGCTCGTCAGACCCACTCATCATCTGACAGAAAAAGGCCTTGCATGCGGCTGTCCCAGCCACCAAGAACACTACAAAGCCCAGGGATGCATTTTAATGGGACAGATGAGGGGCAGCACAGGAGAGGCTGGCTATCCCCACACAGGAGTTACACAACAAAGCCACACAGGCTGGTCCAGCCAAAAGCTCCAGTTACTACCAAATAAAACATCCACAGTTCCACATCCCAGCCACGGGGTATTTGGTGGGGATTCACTGCTCCAAATCAGGCTCCACTCAACAAAATCATCCCCTTGCCCTTTCCAAACTGGAACAACAGTGTCACAAAATGAGAGTGGTGCCTGGAAAAACCCATCACATTCCCAACTTCCCAGAAGAGAAGCTAGAGCACAATCTAGAGCAAAATCCTGGCCTTTTTTAAGCCAGGGGCAGACCTGCCTTTGCTTCCACAGARCAAGGAGTTCAGATCCCCATTTTAGCCACCACCCCTTGTGTCAACAGGATCTGGAGATGATTTTCATTTACCCAGCAAACAAAACAGAGACAGATGCACTAACTAATGTACCCACATTAAAAGGGATCTCCTGAAACTGTCAGCTCTCCATGTAAACAGATTAAGAGCTGCCCATGACATACCAGAACACTTTATCTGAAAGACTAACTTTGGTCCAAGCAGTGTGTTTCAAAAGTTCCTATCAGAGCCCAACTCCATCRAGCCTTTGAACACAATGATTTGAGAATGTATGGTACAACTGAGTCATCTGGCATCAAAGGATGAGTAATCCTTAAAATTTATGAAAACAAACAGTAATTAAGACACCTCCATCATCAGAGACAAAGAAAGGGACCCAGCAATCATGAAACAGCTTTGAGATCTGCCATGCTTATTACAGCTGTTAGAATAAACCAGGCATATTGAAAATTACATGCAACAAAAATAAACTGTAATCAAGCTTTTAAAAGCCTGTCCTTGTTTCTCTTGGTTTTACAAACTGAAAGATATATGCAGTTCCTGTGGCTATTTGGTATTAAACAACAGTAAAAAAAAAAAAAAATAGAAACAGTAATACTTTGTAGAGGATCATAATGAATTTATGCAGCAATTTAAAGCTGGTTTTTAGCATTGCAGTTAAAACACAATCCAGCACACGTTCCACTGCCCTACTTCATGCTCCACAAGTTAAAGGRATGTCATTTTGTAAGATGTTGCAAATACTGGAGCTGAAGCAGCACAAAGCAGATAAGCTGTGTGTTTGTGTCACCTGTTAACACCTGCTGCCACACACAAATGCTGATCTACAGCGAGGGAGGCTGCAGGTCACATTTTCAGTGGGTATAAACAGGGATAGCTGTGCCAACAGCATGGGATTTGGCCTTGTGTACAAATCTTTTCYTCCCCTTTGTATTTTTCTCCCTGGTGTTTATATTGTACCGTTTCTCAAGTGTGTTACTCGGTCCTTTGAGGTGATCGGTCCTCAATAAATCAACAAGTTCCCTTTACTTGCCTTTAATGCAACAAAAATTAAAATCCTCAAACCCTCCTGACCCATAAAATCCTACTATATAAAAACTCTTTGAGAGCAAGACAGTGAAATAACTGATTACTCAAATGGTGTATAATTAATACTTGCATCAATGTAGATATTCTACACTGGGATCTACATTCAGCATGGTGGCTAAGTAAAAATGAAAATAAAACACGTGGCCTAATGGAAACATCATGGAAACACTTTTTTTTTAGAGTCTCTCCAGGAGAGATGAAATCAGGGATTAACAGCAGGGAAAAAACAAATCTTACAAAAAGATTGTAAGCAGAAAAGTCCAAAACACCTTTAGTACAAAGCTAAAATTTATCATGGGTAGGAGCTTGGAAGAGATGTGTCAGCACAGAAAGTTCCTCGAAACAGCAGAACTCATGAGGCTGACAACACCTAATAATGGATGGAAACAAGCCCAAAAAGCAGCTGAATGAGGACACTTTTTGGAATCATCTGCTGCTTCCATATTAAAACACGACTGGATCCAGGCTTGTCTTGTTCCCTAAATAAGCCTACCACATGGGTTMAAGGGCCATGAGAAAAARCAAAGATGGAAAATGGAAAACTTGCATGCTGCCACAGGAAAACCTGTCTGTGAGGAAGATGTGACCCCACACAAGGGACACAAGGGCTGGGGAGGCACCAGGGACACAAGGGACACAAGGGACACAAGGGCTGGGGAGGCACCAGGGACACAAGGGACACAAGGGACACAAGGGACACAAGGGACACAAGGGCTGGGGAGGCACCAGGGACACCAGGGACACAAGGGACACAAGGGACAGAAGGGTTTGGGAGGCACCAGGAGGGCTCCAGGGCCAGAGGGATGGTGTGGGGTTCCTGAGAAAGCAGCCAGACCCTGTTCTCTGCCCTCTGTCAGGGCTCCCCAGCCCCAAGGGCACCTCWGGCTGCTCCACCTTCCCCTCTCTCRGGGTTTCCTGTGTTTGTCCCACTCCCAGCCCGACCTTTGGCACCGCTCCTGCCTGCCAGTCCCACTAATCTCAGCCCAAAGTGCTGCTGGTGCTGATGGCACCCACAGACACTGAAGAAAAATGCTCTTGAACCTGCAAACACGACACAGAGCCACCCCACCTGCACATCCCGTGGTTCTGCAAAGCCTTTTACACCTGCCCTGGGGCTGGGCAGCTGTGCTGAGCTCATCCTCMACTCCAGCATTCCTTTCCAACCTCTGAAAACTCCCCAGGGACAGCTGAGGAGCTGCTCCTSCATTCTCTCCTGTCCAGCTCCTTTCTCCTGCACCTCACCCTCATATCAATGTTCTGTAAGAACACACCAGGTTAAAATTCCCCAGATCAGAATATGCAGAAATGGCTGGAGCTGGCATGGCTATTGCTCAAGGCCAACCTGAGACAAAATGGAGTGACTTAGCTCTTATTTCTTAATTTGTATATGAGCATTGCTGCAAACAATCATAATATTCAGCTTGGACATTCATAATTAGCAGTACAGGCAGGATTTGCTCCATAATATTAATTATTTTCAGTTCCTGTGACCAAACCCACCAAGAACAAACACCCTGCTCAGAAAGCCTCTTGGGAAGACTCCTGTTCAGAACTCCCCAAATCAATTATGGTCTGGTAAATATTTGAACTCACTGGACAGAGGCAAAAGGTTCTGCAGGTGTTACTGAAATGCTTTTGCACACAGAGGAGGAAATCTGTGTGTAACAGACACCAACACCTCTAACTCACCCATCCTTGCCACCATAACACCATCAGGAGGAATCCAATCCTTTCCTTCCCATCAAAGAGAACTCACAACCTCAGTGTGAGTTGTGCAGGGCTGTGAAGGTGCAGTCTGCTGAACAAAGCTGTCTGTAGGGYCAGGAATCTGTGCTCTCATGGACTCTGTCACTGTACAGGCAAACCCACCTTTCACTAACAAAACCCACCCCATGAAAGGGAAAAAGGGAAAGCTCACAAATCCCATTTCAGGGAAGCTGCTGCACCAAGCCAGAGCCTCCCTACAGCTTCAATTACCCCATGAAGGGTTTTTCACTGAACAGAGCCCAGTGAAGGCAAAGCAAGGACATCCCCAAACCCTCCAGCCTTTGAATCCTGTCCCAGGAACAAAAATGCCCCAACACAGGCACCTCCACTGCTCCTCCCACACCGCCCCAGCTGTCTCTTAACCTTGACTACAGACAAAGAAAACACCCTTTTTGCTTTTGCCTGCTGGATGATGCAAACCCACTTGCTGACCTTTCTGGATGAACATTTTTCGAGTGTGAATGGGCCAGCTATGATCTCACTACCTTGTCAATGAGGAGGAAGCGGGGAAAGCCTTTTCAACGTTCCATCAAAAGAGAGCTTTTATGCAGTCTGACATCAGGGGGAAAACACAAGCTGGGCTTTCCAAGGGCACCGCCGAGCAGCTGAGCAGAGCTCTCCAAAACCGCTCCCACCTTTCCAAGGACCCTCTCTCTCCCAGCCAGCTGCTTAATGGCATGAGCAGACACTCAGCTCTAAACTTAGGATTGGCAAAAGGCTCACAAAACCATCAATTACATCAAAGCTACAAGGGGATCTGACTCTGGAGGGCATAAATATGGATTCTGTTCTAAGAGTTCTGGTGTGACAGTGGGGTCAGCCTACAACCTTTACAATGAACATCCTGTTCCTGCTTGACCTCTTGTCCTTTTTTTTTTYTCCCCTGCTACTTAATGACTGCTTGGAGCAGTCTTGGGGGAAGAAAAAAAAAAAAATGTCCTCCAGAGCTGGCTGACGTGTATATTGATACTGCTGGTGGCAATATATATATTTACACAGCCACGAAAAGCAGCTGCTAAGCTGAGCCTACTTTTAGCTGGTGCCCTACTAAAATGAACCCAAATCTGCACTCGTGCAGCCCCAGCAGTGACACCCTGCACAGCTGCTGCCAGGAGTTTGCAGTTTTTTTGGGAATGCTCAGTGTCCCAGCAGTTTTTTTTGGGAATGCTCAGTGTCCCAGCAGTTTTTTTTGGGAATGCTCAATGTCCCAGCAGTTTTTTTTGGGAATGCTCAATGTCCCAGCAGCAGGGGATTGCACAGCCCAAACCCCTCCTCTGTGATTTATCATCTCCCCTCTCATCCCTGCAGGGCTGGGAGAAGCAGCACACACAGGTACCAGCAGCAAATTCACAGCACACCTCTGAGTTTTGCTGCTCTGTGAGTGTTCATTTCTACACAAAACTACCTGGAGCTGCATCAAACCCAAACAAAATATCAAAATATCACAACCCTGAGGCACTKTGCTGTTTAGCTCCTAAGGCTAAAACTTAGAAAGGCTTAACTTGCAACCTTTCACCTTCCCCAGTTTGTTCTCAGCCCTCGAGTAATTATTAATCCAAATTTTTACCTCATTTGTAATTGTTTCTGCAAAGCATATCCCCAGGAAGGCAAGGCAGCAAGCAAGCGTAAAGTATGATWATTTTGGGGAACACTGAGGGAATCTCAGATGTTTCTCCAGCTTATTTAGATGCAAAAACATTTTTCAGTTGCTCAGGAACAGAAAAGAAAAAGAAATCCTGCCCAGACACATGTCCGCATGTATGAAAAACAGTGCATGAAAAACAATGCAATGCCTTAGGTGCCTGACTTTTGTTCTAGGATGCACAGCACTCAGTGAACAGCATTTTTCTCAAGAAATYCACTGCAAGTGCAGCAATCAGAGTGCTGTGCTGAGCAATTTTATGTTCAAGAATGTGGTGGGGTTTTTTTTTCAGTTCTGTTCTTAAGAAATTCAGGGCAACAAGAACTCAGAGTCTTCACAATACAAACGCTAAGTGTAAGTCTAATCTCCTACACACAGATGTAGATCAACAGCACTTGTTTAAATACTGATAAAAATTAGAACACAGTGAAGCCAAACGAACATAAATATTTCACGTAATATTTACTGGAAAGTTGCAATAGGGATTTTGTCTAATGAGTAAATACAGCATGAAGCTGTTGAGTCTTCTATCCCTGGGGTAAGATAATTTGAAACACATTTTTTCAGATCAAAAGTGTTATGTTGTCAAATATAAAAGCCCAATTTAGTCTGCATAATATTTAATTAAGGAAACAGCATTCCATACTGCGATAGATTTATTTTTTTAAGTCCAATGCCCCTTGAGTCATTTTATCTTCTTAACTTTAAGATCTGTACTGTGCGAGATCATGGGAAAGGCACAATCAACTTTATTTTCATTACAAAAAAAAAAAAAAAAAAAAAAAAAAGAAAAAAAGGGGAGAAAACCTAAAGGGAATCCTGTGAAAATCAAATGCAAACCCAAGATTTTCCAAGGATCGTGAAACTTGAAAAGGCCATCTGCTTACTGAAAGCAGAGGGGGCAGGAGGATGGATCGTGGGGGTTTGGGTCACAAGGCACAGGCACGGGGTAAGTGGAGTTTTTTGGAGTTTTTGGGAGTTTTTTGGGGGTTTTTGGAGTTTTTTGGGGTTTTTTGGAGTTTTTTGGAGTTTTTTGGAGTTTTTTAGGGCCCCGCTGCTCACCTTGACACTCCTGTGGTGTACCCGGGACGGCTGGCACTTGACACTGCTGGTGTTGCAGCAGCCGGTGCAGCGCTTCACCTCCACGCAGGGCGGCCATATCAGGAAATTGGCCGAGGTGGGGTCGATCTGGCTCCGGGGGATCTCGTAGATCACCGTCCGCGTCTTGCACACCGCCGGGATGGCCTCCTCTGCGGGAACAGCACCCACACACGGCGGGTGAGCAGCAG